GAGGAAATGCAACAAAACAAAAAGAACTTGAAGAGAAATTGGTGGAGATAATTAAATAACCTATCTTGTAATCATATAATTATGTCTTTTAAGACTAATATCATAAAAATCTTAAGTTTTATGCTAATATTTAGAAAATGCTTTAATATTTTCTTTTTTGGTTACCTATGGCCATAATTTTTACACAAAGTTATCACTTTAATATAATTAACTAGTATTATGATTAACTCTTATATCATTTATGTAAAAGTCAGTTCCTAAATCAGGTTTAAAGTCGAAATTTATTCTTTATAATTTGCATAAATTTACACCACATAGTTTTTTAATTTTATTTTATACTTTTTTTATATACTATATTTATTTTGGATTTTTTACTTTATTTTTCGTTTTTTATATATTTTATTTATTTTCCTTTCATAACTTTATTTTCATTATATATATATATATATATATATATATATATATATATATATATATATATATATATATATATATATATACACTATATTTATTTTGGATTTTTTACTTTATTTTTCGTTTTTTATATATTTTAATTATTTTCCTTTCCTAACTTTATTTTCATATTATATATATATATATATATATATATATATATATATATATATATATATATATATATATATATTCTGTAATTTTCATATATTTTATATTTTTTTGTATTTTTTTAGTATTCGTTTTTCTATTATTCATGTTTATCATTTTTATTTTTAAAATTATTTTATTTCATTTTTATGAATTTGATAACCTTTTCTTGTAATTTCGGACAAACTTATATTCTTTATATATTTTTTCTTTAATGTTATTATAATTATATTACGAAAAATGAAAAGTAACAAAATTAAACAACTTATTCTTTGAAAATTAATGATTCTATGTGTAATATTTATGATATATAATTATTAAAATAGGAAAAAAAGATAAAATTTTATAATATAACTTGCAAATTAAATCATATTTTTATATATGAAATCAATAGTTTAAATTCAAGTTAATATTTTTCAATTGGATAATAGATTAAAAGAAAGAACAAAAGAAACAATAATAATCAGTCTCCATAAAAAACCATCTTATAATATTTTAAATTGAATTCAACTTCATTTATTTGAATAAAATAAATAAATAAAAACATTAGAAAAATTAAAATTTAAGAAAATAGAAAACAAAAAGGAAAAAAGAGAAAAAATTAAATAGTTGAAAAAGAATATATATATATATATATATATATATATATATATATATATATATATATATATATATATATATATATATATATATATTACCTTTTAAAAGAAATCTTACTATTTCTAAGATGTTCAAGTCTTTAAGCTTAAAGTACAACCAACTATTAATATAATAATGTTATAATATATATCTTACAAATGATAATGTTAGGGATACAAGTATTAAAACACATTTAAATTGGTATTTCCTTATTTTTAGGGATTGAATTAGTATTTTCATCAATTTTGACCCAACTTGTACTTTTAAAATATCTCTTCGCTGGTATCTGGTGCATTCGAAATCTGAAACACTTCTTTTCAACAAATCGTTTGAAATTTAAAAGTTCATTCAAATTGGAGTTCCCTAATTTTTTTTGCATAAAATATAGTTGACTGAAGACTAATTCAAATTTGCATCTCCTTTTCCTCCATGAAATTCACCACCACAATATTTTTTGGTTTTGGCATTGCACTTTTTGTTTTTGTGAAACCGATCGATAATAGTGCAAGTGTTCTTAGAAATATAACATGTCTCCGAATCAAACTAATTGCTTAAAAGAAACTATTCGCCGCCACCGCTTTGCACGGACAAACAGCTAGTATATATATATATATATATATATATATATATATATATATATATATATATATATATATATATATATATATATATAGTTAAAAACGAAAAATAAAGTTAAAAAACTATTCGGTGTAATTTTTTCGAAAGTATAAGGACCAAATTTTGACTTTAACCCCAATTTTAGGACTCGTTTTCTAAGAAAGATAATTAAGTTAACGATGAAAATAGTTAAGTGGACTATAACGATAACTCTACGTAAAAGTTGTGGTCATAGCCGACCAAAAAATTTGTTAAGACTATTTTGAACTACATGTGTAAAATTTGAGAATTTTATGGTATTAATCTTTTTTAAAAGTTGTGGTCATAGTCGATCAAAAAAATTATTAAGCCTATTTTCGACTACATGTGTAAAATTTGAGAATTTTATGGTATTAATCGTTTTTTAGCATTTATTATATGATGTATATAATTGTATTACTCACTTTTAATATATTAAACAATTTGTTTCTTGATATTTATTAGGGTGAGGGGGTGGTTCTCTCCCAACCCCGTCAATGGATTGCTACATCAATTCCACAATTTTTTTTTTTTTTTTCATCTTCTCCGAACCCACAATAAATGGAAACAAGATATTTTTTCCAATCAATTAAAAAAATACAAAAGAACATAACGTATAAGGTATAATAGAAAAAAGGAGAGTGAAGAAAGAGAGAATATGTTCTGGTCCCTTAACAATAATAAATGAGTGGTTTCGTATGGTGAAGGTAATGCTCTAGGAGGTATCCCAATACCTCCAACCTAATCCTAATGAAGCTCAGCCACTTCCTCCTCTATTAGTTTTGTTGTTGAATTAGTTATGGAAATATCCATCAATAAGAATAATATACCCCATCGAAAATTTGTAGCTAAAAGTTTGTCGGTAATCCGTCAAAATAAGGTCAAAAATTGTCTGAATAATTCCGAAATATTTTTTTTTTGAAATAAATTATTTTCGTTTCTTCATCACCATTTCATCGGAAATTAGTCACAAATAATTAGTAATGGCAATGGGGCGGGTTCGGGGCGGGTCATGGTTTCCTAAACCCGCCCCGATATCTTTCGGCTATCTTATTGGGGCGCTTCATTGGGTTCGGGTTTTCCCGTCGGGTTTTGGGTATCTTATCGGGTTTACAATAATTCATAACGAAATCCTTATTCCGTTTAAGGGTACTCCAATATCTTAAAAAAAAAAAAATACATGTTCTACCCTTCCTTTTAAATTAAAAATATGATGAATCACTTTAATAAAATTAACTGGACGTTATACTAAAACTTATGTGATTTAAGTTTAGTGTAATACGTCAAAACATAAAAAAAGACCATTCACACCGGATTTTTAATAACTAAAAAGATTGTCACAATAAGTATTTTATCTTTGAATGCGTGCAATTAATATATATATATATATATATATATATATATATATATATATATATATATATATATAAAAATCGGGGCGGAGCGGGTCAGGGCAAGGATAACCCACTTCCTGCCCCGAACCCGATAAAAAAACCCCGATAGTGATCCGTTATCCGACCCGAAATAATCGGGTTTCGGGTTTCCCCGTCGGGTTCGGGTTTTTTTGTTACACATGAAGGTTATTGAGCGACTAATTTCCGTCGGTAAGCCGACGGAATACTGTCGGCTATGGCCGTTGGAAAAATCCATTTTTCTAACAGTGTTAATTTACCGAACGAATAAGAACATAAAAATGATTTGCTTATTTGTCCGGTTAAATTCAACGAAGGATCGTGTTAGTTAATACAATTAACTCACTAAGTTTAAGATAAATAATATCTAAAGCATGGCTAAAATAGGAAATATGCGCACATTTTTCAACTACAGCGCCATAGCTCGAAGATGATTCACTGCAGATAAAATAACGCATGCTACTACTAAAAAAAAATAAAAATAATAATAATAATAATAATAATAAGATAAAAATAAAATAATAAAAAATTAAAATCGCTAATAGAACCCAGTTTTGTGACCCAACAATATGCCAGCGGGTCCTTAATTTTTGGAGTTTTGTAGTAGTGAATAGGGGTGTGATAAAAAACCGAAACCTAATAACTGAACCGAATCAAATGATGTTTGGTTTATTTGGTTCTGGTTATTTGGTTATTCGGTTAATTCAGTTTGATTCACTGAATAATGATACTTTATTCGGTTTGTTTTTGGTTAAGTTTTCATGACTTTTGTTACACTGAAAAAACTGTGTACTTATTATATATTTTTGTAGTTTATATATAAATTAACATTTTATACTTAAGAGTAAATTACTGAAATCGTTCCTATGGTTTTATCAAAATTTCATGTTTCATTTTTTTTTTTTTGTATTCGGATCGTCCCTGTAGTTTGATTTTATTGCGTTTTTCGTCCTTATGATTTGGTCAAAATTACACATTTGGTCCCTAACTTTATGTATGTAAGGAATAAAAAAACGTAATAAAATCAAATCACATGAACGATCCGAGTGCAAAAAAAAAAAAAAAAAAAAAAAAAAAAAAAAAGCAAACGTATAAATTTGAACAAACCATAGAGACATTTTCAGTAATTTACTCTATACTTAAATTGATAGATAGTTACTATAAAATATTTTCATAACTCATTATTGAACTATTAACCATTATAAATTTATAATTGTTTACATATTGTATCAGGAAACAACAACTAATTAGTGAAAGTGAAATGCCAATTAACCTTATGTAATTTCTTTCATCTTCACATACATTTAAAGATATATTAACATGCATCTACAAATTGTATGGCTACATCAATATCTCAAGACTACATATTATGAAAGATTGAATATAATAAGTTGTGTATTAGTGTTTTTCTTTTATTCATTTGGTAAAACTTCAGTAATTTTCTTTCCTTTTAGTTTAATATTTGTTTTTACATGTAAAATTTGATTTGGTTTAACCAGTAAACCAAAACGAATAAATTGTAACTGAATTAACCAAAACCGATTAAACCGAACCTTATTTGGTTTGATTGTGATTAGTTTTGAGATGTAAAAAAACTAATAAAACCAAACCGTATAAACCGAAAACCGAAACAAAACCGACCGAATAACACCCCTAGTAGTGATGTCCCTATATAAACAAACACAGCTTCAAAACCCTCTATATTTCTCTATGATTCCCTTTGCAATGGAGTTATTAGCAACAAGTATGATCTTGTTAATGATCTCATATGTTACTTTTTGGTTAACAAAGCTGGTACTTGGAACAGGCAAAACATGCTATATGATCGATTATCAATGCTACAAGGGAAAGAAGGAGATGAAGCTGGACACCGAACAGTGTGCGAAGATTGTTTGGCGCAACAAGAATCTACGTGTCGAAGATTACAGGTTCCTTCTAAAAACCATGGTAAATTCAGGCATTGGTGAAGAAACTTATGGCCCAAAAAGCATCATATTGGGTGAAGAAGAAAAACCAACACTTGTTGCTTCTTTATCAGAATTAGATGATGTGTTCTATGATACGCTTGACAGTATTTTTTCCAGGTCGAATATCTCGCCATCTGAAGTTGATATACTAGTGGTGACTGTATCCCTAATCTCACCAGTGCCTTCTTTAGCGTCAAGAATCATAAATCATTACAATATGCGGTCGGATATTAAGGCGTTCAATCTCTCAGGAATGGGGTGCAGCGCAAGTCTAACTGGTATCGATCTGGTCCAACACTTGTTCAAGACTCACAAGAACAAAATAGCCATTGTTGTGAGCACAGAATCCATGTCGTCTCACTGGTACTGTGGGAGAGAAGGATCCATGATGCTCTCTAACGTTCTTTTTCGGGTCGGAGGTTGTTCAATGCTTTTGACCAACGACAGAGATCGCAAAAACAACGCGATTTTGAAACTGAAGTGTATGGTTCGAAGCCATTTTGCCTCGGACGATGAAGCCTATAACTGCTGCATGCAGATCGAAGATGATGAAGGATACGAAGGCTTTCGTCTCAAAAAATCCCTCCCAAAAGTTGCTGGTCGGGCTTTGATGAAGAACCTACAAGTGCTTCTACCAAAAGTGCTTCCACTTTGGGAGATAATTCGTTATACATGCCTCAAATCTGGTTCGAAAATCAACCTTAAAACTGGAATCGAACACTTCTGCATACACCCAGGTGGAAGAGCTGTAATCGATGAAGTGGGTACAAATCTAGGGTTAAGCGATTACGATCTTGAACCATCTCGAATGACGCTGCATCGTTTTGGAAACACGTCGTCTGGTGGGCTCTGGTATGTTCTTGGATACATGGAAGCAAAGAAAAGGCTGAAGAAGGGTGATAGAATCTTAATGATCAGTTTGGGTGCAGGTTTCAAATCCAACAGCTGTGTTTGGGAGGTCACAAGAGACTTAGATCGAACTAATGTCTGGAAAGATATGATCGAAAAGTACCCTGTAAAGCAGGCTACAAACCCTTATCTGGAGAAGTACGCATGGATCAATGATGAAGATATGGATTTTGTCACACGTGAAGATGCAGACAAGATACTTGGTTTTGCATAAACATTATCTTTGAAATGCTTGGAGCACTAAAAGTTAATCGTTAGCTAAAAGTTTTTATTTCAGTGAGTTTCTCGTTATTTTCATCACCAATAAGAGTACTCATTGTCTCATCGATCATTTGTGGATAACTTATCCAGGTGATTGGGGTTTTTAAATTACCTATTGGCGTACTAGATGTCTAAAAATGTTTTACATGTAAAATGTGTTTATTTGTTGTAAAAATAATAGATAGTGCTTATATATGTTGTGTATAACAGTTACACTTTATTATTCTACTTCTCTTTTATATATATATATATATATATATATATATATATATATATATATATATATATATATATATATATATATATATATATATATATATATTAGTTTATAACCCGTAGGAACTACGGTTATAAAATTAATCAAACTTTCACAGAAAAAACTCAAGATTATTAATAAGTTATTTTAAATAAATTATTAATTTAACAGATATTTTTATTAGTTATGTAAAATTATAATCATTGATTCAAATAAATACATAAAATTAATTTTTAATATATATTAGATATTTTTTATTTGTGAGTTAATGAAAACAATAATTTAAAATTTAAAATTTAAAATAGAATCACATTAATGAGAGGTCTATGAAATTTAAAATGGAAAACTAATAGATTGGCAATTGACAACATATTAATTAAAATATCTAATATGATGATACATGGCAAAAGAGCTACTCTTTTATTGGTATATATATATATATATATATATATATATATATATATATATATATATATATATATATATATATATTTACATCGTATTGAACATTACAAAAATTTAATAGATATTTATTTTTTCATTTTTCTCATTAAAAAAGTCCTATAACCACTGAACTCATCCAAAGTTGAACGTGAATGCCGTATTCCACTATGCTTTATGCTCAACTTTGCTTCATTAACATAATCAACTAAATATTTCATCAAATTCTAAGAATTTTATTAAACTATGTCGATGCTCTTATCATTGATACTTGTATTCTTTAAATTCAAACAAATCATGTTAGTCATTAGTAGTAAAAGATTTGAATTGTGTTGGATTAGGTTGTTAAACCAAAAATTAAATTATATTTAATATAATCTTTAATTATTTGCAAAATTCTTTTGAGCTTACACTCAAACCTAGTAATTGATTGAAATTTTTTTTACAGAGAAACTAATTTATTAATTTATTATATAGTTAATAAATTAAATAGAAATCAAAATAAATGATTTATTAATATATTATGATAATAATATATTAATTAGAAATAATGTTATTTAATAAAAAATCAATCTAAAATTAATTTGAATTAACTTTAGGATTAATAGGATTAACTAAAAATAAAATGACTAAAGGTGACAATATTAAAAGTTGAACATTGATTAATTCTAAAACCTCCCATATATGAGACGGTTTCTATAGGGTTTTTAGAGGTTTCTAGAGCTTTTTCTTGAGCTCTAAGGAAGCTTGGATGGCTTAGAGGAAAGCAAAAGGATTAATGTTATCTAAAAGGAACATACATTATCCTAGCTCCCTTACTCACCTATAAAAACTCCTAAATGTTTAGAATTTAGAAATCATCATTCTAAAAGCCATAGAATTCAGAATTCTTCATTCTCTTCCTCTCTCCTCTTTAGGTTGTAACTTGATAGGGTTTGGGTGAGAGCCATTAGAGGAACACAACTTTTAATGTTTGCTTTCTGAATCCCAACAAAGGAAGGATTACTAGTTTATTTGCTACAATAAACTAACTAGTTGTGAAACCCGTATATTACACGGGTTGGATAAAACAAAAAAATAAATAAATATGAAGGTTTAAACAAAAATTTATTTAAATTTGAAACTTAAAATTTGAATTTTAAAAGGAAACATATTAAATACTATATGAGTTGTAATATTGTAATTTATTGGTTATTTTTAATTAAGGCAGTTATTAGTTAAGGTGTAAATATGATGTGTTAATTAAGAAATATAAAAAAAAAATGAGAAAATGACAAATGGAAAAAATATTTATTTAAAAATACTACAAAATGACAAGTGTCAAAACTCATAAGAGATTGACATGTGGCGAAAAAAAAAACACTTTCATTTATTAAGAAGGATGTATGTATTTTCTAATAACCTTTGAGTAATTTCGAAAATATCAATGTACTTTTAAGGTTATTGATATTCAATAGTTGTTTGCAAATCATAGTGAGAACATAGATCCTTTAGAGTGCATGTGAACTTAAGGTTTATGTTTTTCAACCAAAAAATGGATTTATTTTTAACATATAAAATGTATCAGTGGTATTAGAGTCATTGTTATCATTGATCTTGCACAAAGTTGAATAAATCAAAATTAGGGTTTATAGAAACTAAACCCTAAGGAGGTAAATTTCAAAATCTTCTTGGGTTTTTGAAACCCAATCCTCCACCCTATATTTTCGAAATTTGCAAGGGTTTTAGAAACATTAGCCCCCTTTGCCTAATTTTCGAAAATTGGGGATCCTATTTTAAGGTTTCCTTGTTTCCTTATATGTTATTTTAAAAGCCTTAAAATTTGAACAATTAACACCTGATAAACCTAGTCTATTTTCGAAAATTAGAAGGCTTAGGATTAGAACTAAATTTGATTTATTTTATTAACTGGTTAAATGTAAATACTGATTTAATCCATAACGATTTAATTAATTATTTAATTAAAGATAAAGATTAAATCAAAATTAGTTTGTTTTTAAATTAAATTAATTTTTATTAATTCTGAAAATTTAAATTTAAACATAGTATTTTAGAAAAGTTTTAAATACACCTTATACTATATATAATTAAAAGATTTATATAACATATGTATAAGACAAGATAGTCAAATCGCTAGTATGCCTCATTCACGACGCTATACTCTAAAGAGGGTTTAAGGAAGCGACCTATAAAATGATCACTATTGAGTATCTACTCTTACCCACCGTTCTCTTGTATGGTGGAGGGTCGTTAGCCGAACGTATTTGATAATACATAATCTCATTCATAAGTATAATGAGATAAACTAACTAAACTATTTTTAAAATCTCACTCTTAGCTACTTTAGGAAACAATGTGAAAAGTATGCTAATCCGTGAAAACATACATCATGTTTTATATGTCGTTAATGGAGTGTGTGTGTGTTTAACCGACACATTAATAGGGACTATAAAGAGAGATGATGGACATCTTGAAAATTATCATTGTTGGTGGAGCGTGTGTGATTAACTGACACATCAATGAGAGTTAATAAATGAAATCAAGGCTGTCAAGCGGGTTTGTGTGGCTATTCATATCTCGGTTGTGGTCCTCAACATCACGGTCACAAAAATGAGAGCATAATCTGAGATTAATCATATCATTGATAAGCTTCATTTAATCTCAAAAGATCTAGGAGTTTCATAAGATTGGAATTAGTAAAAGCGTTACCTAACTAAAATAGATTTGAATTTGACTACGACATCTCTCTTCAAAGTCCAAATAAAAAAAATATGGATCCTAGCCTTAGTTTAAATTTTGGATTAATAATTAAGGATTAAAATCAACTAACTCGAGTTCTATTTTCTCCTAATTTTAGATGTCTTTTGAAGATAGTAATGGTCTTCCTCGTTATTTTGGAAATGGTTTTCCTCTTCGTTCTGAAGATGATTTTTCACATTCTGATCAAGGTAAAATGTTTTCCCTTCTTCGGGAATTGGTGGAACTGGACATTATGCTTCTTTAACACTTCCACCTCCTCCTCATGTGACTCCCCCAACATTATGTTTTTATCAAGTTGAAATATATGAAACAACTCAATTCCTACTGGCATGTAGGCATCAAGATGGAAATTCTATGGGTGTGCATGTTCTAGAAATGAAATCGTACATTGACAAGTTGGAAAGAATAGATGTCATCTTTCTAAGGGAGCAATCTATTGATTTGGTTCTACTTTCGCTTGCTAAGTCATATGTTCAGTTTATTGAAAACTTCCATATGAGGAATCTCGATGTGACCCTAATTCATCTAACATAAATGTTGATAGTTGTTGAAGCAGAAATCCTTAAGAGCACATCCGAGGTAGTGTTGCTTATATGTTCTAATTCCAAGGTTTCTATGGACATTGGTGATGGTGACATTGGTGGTTCGAAAAAGATTTCTTTGCCCAATGGAAAGGGATCAGCCAAGATCAAACAGTTTGATCGTATGGTAATGAGAAAGCCTCATTATGAGATCATCCCATGTGTTAAGCCCAAAGAGTCCATTTGTTTCTACTGCCATATGAGGGGATAGGGGTTGTGAAGTTGTCCAAAGTATAAGAAATATCTCTAATATGGTAAAGTCAATTCGAATGACTCTACTTCAGGTACATTCAATATCTACCTCCATTATTTTTCAACTTCCTATTCCTAGAATTTTAATACATTATGTGATGATCACATTTGATGTTGTTGCAAGATCTAAGAGAAAGAAAGAAGCTTAAGCAAAGTGAGCTGAATCTAATCTTGAGAAATGAACTTCGGTCACATGGTTCGATGATCGGAATTTGGAGCTGCTACTAAGGAGTTAGGATGATAGATTGCTATTACTCTTAGAAGATGTCCAGAAACATAGTTTTTCATTTTATGCGTTGTAAAGAAAAGTTCCAATTTTTTCGTTTATTTTTCAATAAAACTGAAAATTTGTTTTATCTAGTTACCTTATTCACATTTTCTTGTAATGGTATTTATGAAAGTGTTTGTTACATTTCTAATATTAGCAATATTAATTGTGGATTCGATTCTTATAATATCGTTTGTGGTGTTGTCATAATTGACAAAGTGAAAAGAAATCTCATCGCCAACTGGACAGATACTTGGTGTTGTAGAAATCGCATTGTATAGTGTATAAGAATTTTGTTCATTGGAAAATTATAACTAACTCATTGCCATATTTTTATTTGGGGCAAGTTAAGGACTAACAGATCTAGTACATTTTGATATGGACTATTTAGATCG